GTTCTAGCCGCACATCGAAAACCATTTTCATCAAGGTCAAACTTCAAGGTCAAATTCAAGGTCAAAGTACGGGGAACTGGAAAAGTGCCACTAAATATTGTCCGATTTTCAAAATTTTGGCACCATAATGTAGCGCGTGCAAAGTTCTAGCCGCACATCGAAAACCATTTTCATCAAGGTCAAACTTCAAGGTCAAATTCAAGGTCAAAGGACGGGGAACTGAAAAAGTGCCACTAAATATTGTCCGATTTTCAAAATTTTGGCACCAAAATGTAGCGCGTGCAAAGTTCTAGCCGCACATCGAAAACCATTTTCATCAAGGTCAAACTTCAAGGTCAAATTCAAGGTCAAAGGACGGGGAACTGAAAAAGTGCCACTAAATATTGTCCGATTTTCAAAATTTTGGCACCAAAATGTAGCGCGTGCAAAGTTCTAGCCGCACATCGAAAACCATTTTCATCAAGGTCAAACTTCAAGGTCAAATTCAAGGTCAAAGGACGGGGAACTGAAAAAGTGCCACTAAATATTGTCTGATCTTCAAAATTTTGGCACCAAAATGTAGCGCGTGCAAAGTTCTAGCCGCACATGGAAAACCATTTTCATCAAGGTCAAACTTCAAGGTCAAATTCAAGGTCAAAGGACGGGGAACTGAAAAAGTGCCACTAAATATCGTCCGATCTTCAAAATTTTGGCACCAAATTTTGGCACCTTGAATTTGACCTTGAAGTTTGACCTTGATGAAAATGGTTTTCGATGTGCGGCTAGAACTTTGCACGCGCTACATTTTGGTGCCAAAATTTTGAAAATCGGACAATATTTAGTGGCACTTTTTCAGTTCCCCGTCCTTTGACCTTGAATTTGACCTTGAAGTTTGACCTTGATGAATATGGTTTTCGATGTGCGGCTAGAACTTTGCACGCGCTACATTTTGGTGCCAAAATTTTGAAAATCTAACAATATTTAGTGGCACTTTTTCAGTTCCCCGTCCTTTGACCTTGAATTTGACCTTGAAGTTTGACCTTGATGAAAATGGTTTTCGATGTGCGGCTAGAACTTTGCACGTGCTACATTTTGGTGCCAAAATTTTGAAAATCGGACAATATTTAGTGGCACTTTTTCAGTTCCCCGTCCTTTGACCTTGAATTTGACCTTGAAGTTTGACCTTGATGAAAATGGTTTTCGATGTGCGGCTAAAACTTTGCACGCGCTACATTTTGGTGCCAAAATTTTGAAAATCGGACAATATTTAGTGGCACTTTTTCAGTTCCCCGTCCTTTGACCTTGAATTTGACCTTGAAGTTTGACCTTGATGAAAATGGTTTTCGATGTGCGGCTAGAACTTTGCACGCGCTACATTTTGGTGCCAAAATTTTGAAAATCGGACAATATTTAGTGGCACTTTTTCAGTTCCCCGTCCTTTGACCTTGAATTTGAACTTGAAGTTTGACCTTGATGAAAATGGTTTTCGATGTGCGGCTAGAACTTTGCACGCGCTACATTTTGGTGCCAAAATTTTGAAAATCGGACAATATTTAGTGGCACTTTTTCAGTTCCCCGTCCTTTGACCTTGAATTTGACCTTGAAGTTTGACCTTGATGAAAATGGTTTTCGATGTGCGGCTAGAACTTTGCACGCGCTACATTTTGGTGCCAAAATTTTGAAGATCGGACAATATTTAGTGGCACTTTTTCAGTTCCCCGTCCTTTGACCTTGAATTTGACCTTGAAGGTCAAGGTTTAGGGGTGAATGGGTTCGATTTTCGTGATCCTCATGGTCCAGTTGACCTTGGACGAGGTTTTGGCTAAAATCGGTGCTCGTCGCTGGAAAAGTCGATGGTGACGTAGCATTTTTAAAGTTGCCCGTCCTTTGACCTTGAATTTGACCTTGAAGTTTGACCTTGATGAAAATGGTTTTCGATGTGCGGCTAGAACTTTGCACGCGCTACATTTTGGTGCCAAAATTTTGAAAATCGGACAATATTTAGTGGCACTTTTTCAGTTCCCCGTCCTTTGACCTTGAATTTGACCTTGAAGTTTGACCTTGATGAAAATGGTTTTCGATGTGCGGCTAGAACTTTGCACGCGCTACATTTTGGTGCCAAAATTTTGAAAATCGGACAATATTTAGTGGCACTTTTTCAGTTCCCCGTCCTTTGACCTTGAATTTGACCTTGAAGTTTGACCTTGATGAAAATGGTTTTCGATGTGCGGCTAGAACTTTGCACGCGCTACATTTTGGTGCCAAAATTTTGAAGATCGGACAATATTTAGTGGCACTTTTTCAGTTCCCCGTCCTTTGACCTTGAATTTGACCTTGAAGTTTGACCTTGATGAAAATGGTTTTCGATGTGCGGCTAGAACTTTGCACGCGCTACATTTTGGTGCCAAAATTTTGAAAATCGGACAATATTTAGTGGCACTTTTTCAGTTCCCCGTCCTTTGACCTTGAATTTGACCTTGAAGTTTGACCTTGATGAAAATGGTTTTCGATGTGCGGCTAGAACTTTGCACGCGCTACATTTTGGTGCCAAAATTTTGAAAATCGGACAATATTTAGTGGCACTTTTTCAGTTCCCCGTCCTTTGACCTTGAATTTGACCTTGAAGGTCAAGGTTTAGGGGTGAATGGGTTCGATTTTTGTGATCCTCATGGTCCAATTGACCTTGGACGAGGTTTTGGCTAAAATCGGTGCTCGTCGCTGGAAAAGTCGCTGGTGACGTAGCATTTTTAAAGTTGCCCGTCCTTTGACCTTGAATTTGACCTTGAAGTTTGACCTTGATGAAAATGGTTTTCGATGTGCGGCTAGAACTTTGCACGCGCTACATTTTGGTGCCAAAATTTTGAAAATCGGACAATATTTAGTGGCACTTTTTCAGTTCCCCGTCCTTTGACCTTGAATTTGACCTTGAAGTTTGACCTTGATGAAAATGGTTTTCGATGTGCGGCTAGAACTTTGCACGCGCTACATTTTGGTGCCAAAATTTTGAAAATCGGACAATATTTAGTGGCACTTTTTCAGTTCCCCGTCCTTTGACCTTGAATTTGACCTTGAAGTTTGACCTTGATGAAAATGGTTTTCGATGTGCGGCTAGAACTTTGCACGCGCTACATTTTGGTGCCAAAATTTTGAAAATCGGACAATATTTAGTGGCACTTTTTCAGTTCCCCGTCCTTTGACCTTGAATTTGACCTTGAAGTTTGACCTTGATGAAAATGGTTTTCGATGTGCGGCTAGAACTTTGCACGCGCTACATTTTGGTGCCAAAATTTTGAAAATCGGACAATATTTAGTGGCACTTTTTCAGTTCCCCGTCCTTTGACCTTGAATTTGACCTTGAAGTTTGACCTTGATGAAAATGGTTTTCGATGTGCGGCTAGAACTTTGCACGCGCTACATTTTGGTGCCAAAATTTTGAAGATCGGACAATATTTAGTGGCACTTTTTCAGTTCCCCGTCCTTTGACCTTGAATTTGACCTTGAAGTTTGACCTTGATGAAAATGGTTTTCGATGTGCGGCTAGAACTTTGCACGCGCTACATTTTGGTGCCAAAATTTTGAAAATCGGACAATATTTAGTGGCACTTTTTCAGTTCCCCGTCCTTTGACCTTGAATTTGACCTTGAAGTTTGACCTTGATGAAAATGGTTTTCGATGTGCGGCTAGAACTTTGCACGCGCTACATTTTGGTGCCAAAATTTTGAAAATCGGACAATATTTAGTGGCACTTTTTCAGTTCCCCGTCCTTTGACCTTGAATTTGACCTTGAAGGTCAAGGTTTAGGGGTGAATGGGTTCGATTTTTGTGATCCTCATGGTCCAATTGACCTTGGACGAGGTTTTGGCTAAAATCGGTGCTCGTCGCTGGAAAAGTCGCTGGTGACGTAGCATTTTTAAAGTTGCCCGTCCTTTGACCTTGAATTTGACCTTGAAGTTTGACCTTGATGAAAATGGTTTTCGATGTGCGGCTAGAACTTTGCACGCGCTACATTTTGGTGCCAAAATTTTGAAAATCGGACAATATTTAGTGGCACTTTTTCAGTTCCCCGTCCTTTGACCTTGAATTTGACCTTGAAGTTTGACCTTGATGAAAATGGTTTTCGATGTGCGGCTAGAACTTTGCACGCGCTACATTTTGGTGCCAAAATTTTGAAAATCGGACAATATTTAGTGGCTTTTTTTCAGTTCCCCGTCCTTTGACCTTGAATTTGACCTTGAAGTTTGACCTTGATGAAAATGGTTTTCGATGTGCGGCTAGAACTTTGCACGCGCTACATTTTGGTGCCAAAATTTTGAAGATCGGACAATATTTAGTGGCACTTTTTCAGTTCCCCGTCCTTTGACCTTGAATTTGACCTTGAAGGTTAAGGTTTAGGGGTGAATGGGTTCGATTTTCGTGATCCTCATGGTCCAATTGACCTTGGACGAGGTTTTGGCTAAAATCGGTGCTCGTCGCTGGAAAAGTCGCTGGCGACGTCGCCAACTTCACGGACATTTAAATAGCAAAGTGTTGCAGTAAAATATATCAAACAACTGTTTGTAACATGTTCGTCAGAATCGTCGGCCCTAATTGCTACCATATCGCTACCAAATACATGACGTCACACCGTTTTCTACGGTAAAATAATCTGGGTGGTGTTTCACTTCACCGGTGATAGCAGCACGTGATAGCAGCACAAGATCCACGGTGATCTTGCCGTGGACTACTACTGGACCGTGGACCGTGGACCGTGGACTACTATCATCGGTGAAACACCATCGACAGCAGCCCCCTGTGATTTTCCGTTAGTGACGCCGATCTCAGCGGTAAAGTAATCTCTGGTAAAACCGGCATATGAAATCAATTTTCGTCGCGGTTCAAATGCTTCTGCTCCTGAAATTTCAAAGCTATTGAGTCGTAACCCACCGGCCACCACCCCCAATTTGAAGTTTTTCTCCTCTGACCTCTCATCTCAGAATGCGTACATTCAAATGCTTGCTTGCTGATGAGATGAAATTGCAAAATTAGTTGAAATATTTATTAATAACCAGTCAACATTAATTATCAACCCACAGCTCCTAGCAAGGGTTAAACGCAACACAAACGCCGCCTCAGCGCTGGACGGCTCTGCCCCTCGGTCGGTGCCCACCGACCGGCCCCGCGCGGCATCACAAACACACAACACAAACCGACAAACGATCAGCCTCCGCGGCCCAACACACGGCCAACTATGCAACTGAAGCATGCGGCGCCGCGCACCTGTCCCCCGGTAAACGAAACAAACGAAGGAACCAGAGGTCTTAGGGCGAACGGCGAAAAACAGCAAGGAAAGTTCTGAGATGTTAATTTGAGCTGTGCATGATGGTTGGAGCAGGCATGATCTGATTAAGACGAACACACGTGAAGCAACCAGTAACCATATTTCTAATCGCCCCGCATCTGTGCACGAAGGAAGCATCGCTTTTGAGATTTAGAGAGCACCATTGAATAGTATGTATCTTATCAGTTCCTTCGAGTTACCGAAGGCTGCAAGAATGAGGTCGCTTTAGATTCTCCATATTGTCGCACTTTAAGCGAGAGTTGCACACATTGAAAGCTCTTCCTAGATTTTCAAGATTCCCGATATTGTCATCGCTTGTCTAACCCTTGCGGATGATACAACTCACAAAGGTACGTACGCCCGAGCCTGAGCCCACACCACCCACAAAACCTAGATTGTCTTAATAAGAACACAGTTACAGTCGCTCACCGGACTCCCAGGCGGCATGCGGATGAGACGATACCACACGACTGGCACGACAGGCGGCGGCCGGTGCCGGGCGACCATCGAGCCGGCGCCGGCCTGCCGACCGGCCGCAGCGTGCCGCCTCACGGCGCGGCTGCGCGGCCGGAGGCGCGCCCCACCAGGTACTCGCAGACTAAGACGGTCGCCGCCAGAACACCTACAAGCGGCACGCAAACGGAAGGGCTCTACCCATGGGTGTATGGCAGTGTGTGCGCGGGGCAGGCAGCGTTAGCGGCCAGCGTGACGGGCCAGCCACAGCCGGGAGCCGCGTCCGCTGCCCGCAGAGACTAGGCGGCGGCGTCGCCCGCAGGCGCCTGATTCGCCGTCTCGGACGGAGTCGCCGGCTTCTCAGCGGCAGCACTGTCCGCCTTGGAGTCGGTCTCTGCTGGTTCTGCTTTCACGTTCGCCGGTTCCGAGTTCGCTGGCGGTGGTTTCGAGTCCGGTTTGTCAGCGTTTGACTCCGTCTTCACCGGCGTTGACTCATTCGCAGAGGCAGGCTCTGCAGCGTTTTTCGCAGGCTCACTGTTAGCCGGCGTCGACTCAGACTTCTTAGTGGACGCTGGGTCCGGTTGGACGGGCTCGGTTTTAACCGGTGCAGCAGGTGGCTCTGCTTTTACGGGCGTCGGCTCCGCTTTGGCAGGTGCTGGTTCCGCCGCCTTTGCAGGCTCAGACACTGTCTTGGCTGGCTCCGTCTTAGCGGGTGTTGACTCGGGCTTTGCAGGTGCGGGCTCCGTCTTTGAAAGTACAGGCTCTGTCTTTGCGGGTGCTGGCTCGGCCTTTGTAGGTGCTGGTTCCGTCTTAGCGGGTGCTGGCTCGGCTTTAGCGGGTGCCGGCTCAGTCTTGACAGGAGCTGGCTCGGCTTTAGCGGGTGTCGGCTCAGTCTTGACAGGAGCTGGCTCGGGTTTAGCAGGTGCTGGCTCGGCCTTAGCGGGTGCCGGCTCGGCCTTAGCGGGTGCCGGCTCATCTTTTACTGGCGCTGGTTTCGAATTCGCTGGTGGTGACTTCGCTGCTTCCGCAGGCTTGGAATCACTGGAGAGTTTCGCCGCACCATCAGCGGCTGCTTTGGACGAATCCGTAGCCGGCGTAGCCGCGGGCTTCGCCGTGCTGTTCGCAGCATCAGAAGCCTTGTCTTTCTTCTTCGAGCCATCCACTGTCGGCTTGACGTCCTCCTTCACAGTAGCCGGCGGCACCCTCTCGCTCTCCCCATTGCCAACCGCGGTGATCGTCTCTGCAGCTTCCCTGCGGGGTTTTCTGGCGGGCGCCTTGTCCGTCTCCTCTGCGCCGTCCTCGGAGTCGTGGTGCTCGCGGCCCTTGTATCGCTCCACCACCAGCTCGTCGCTGATCACTTTCAGCTGGTCGGCGGCGGCCACCAGCTGCTCGGCAGCCTCTGGGGTCTTCAGGCGCACGAACGCCATGCCGCGGCGTCCCTTCCACGCGATGGAGGGCTCCTGCGCGCCGGCAGCCAACAGCGCGGCGCGCAGCTCGCGCACGCGCGTGGTGGCCGGCAGCCGGCCGATGAACACCGTCAGTTCAGCCTCTTCGTGCGAGACGGGCCGCGGGCCCTGCCGGCGGCGCCCGCCGCTGCGCGACCGATCCTCGCGCTCCGGCCGCCTCCTCCGCTCACTGCGCTCCTTGCGCTCGGCGCGCTCAGCCTTCTCGGGCCGCTCAGAGCGGTCCGCCCTCTCAGAGCGAGCTGGCCGGTCTGCGGGCGGCGCGGCGCGCTTCTGGTCGTACTTCTCCAGCAACACTACTTCGTTGACGAGCTTAAAGCTGTCACCGGCATCCAGGAGATGCTCCACATCTTCCGCCGAGCGCAGGCGCAGCAGCGCCACGCCCTGGCGGCCCTTCCACGAGAGGATGGTGGCCGGAGAGTCGGCCGCCATGATGGCCTCGCGCAGATCGCGGGGTCGTGCGTCCGACGGGATCCGGCGCACGATCACAGTCAGGCCGTCGGCGTGGTCGATGGGCGGCCGTTCGCGACGCACGCGCGGCCGCCGCGTCTCCTCGTCGTCGTGTCGCACCGGCTCGACTGGCGGCGGCGGCCGGCGCCGGCGGCGCGGCTGGTGGCGCATATCGTCCTCGGGCTCCTCCTGAGCGTCGCTCGCGGCCGCGTCACTGGCGACGCGGCGGCGGCGGCGCGGCGCGGCCGGACGCCGCCGGCGCCGCTTGTCCGCGCCGTCGTCGTCGTAGTCGCTGTGCGAGGGCTCGGCGTCGCCGGCACCCACCTCACGGCGGCGGCGGCGCGGCCCGCCGGGACCGGCCGGCCGACCGGAGTCGGGGGCCATGTCAGCCCGCAGCCGGCGGCCTTTGCGCGCGGCGGCGTCCTCCAGCTCGGCCTCCGTTGGTTCTCCGAGCGTCACGTCCTTGCCGGCCCTGTGAGCGAGACAGTGAACGTCAGTATCCACTACAAATCGTACACTCAATTTAAACCTGTATATTATTCTAAGAAGACTGAAGACACACTTAAGCAGAATATTTGATATTTCCACTGTAAGCCTGGGTCAGTACAGCAACAGTCCATCAAAACATTATCAACACAATCATCAGCCTTTCATCAACACAAATAAAACTGTTCACTTCTGCAGACCAGGGCCTCAGTTCGCTCTGGCGTCTATACACTTACACTGCCTCGACCTCACGCAAAGCCTTCAGCACGGGGATGGCCTTCAGTTTGCGCGGTGTGACCAGCTTCCAGATGATGCCGGTCGGCTTGGGGTGCCGCTTGCTGACGCGGATCACCTGGGTCGGTGTCACGATCACGTCCACGGTGAGGTCGTGGGAGCCAAACAGCTCCGGCGGCAGCGAGGCGAACACCTGGGCCGGAGAGCGTGACCGGTCAGACGGGACTCGGGTTGGGTCAAGGTACGAGCAGTGAACGCACGATGAACAGTAATATTACTTTTGACGCAATAATCGTCTCCGTGCACAAAGTTTCATGCACCGTATTTGATATTGTGAGTTCAAAGCGCACAATTTTAATATAAAACACGGACGAAATGTTCCTGAAATGACAAGCACCCAACGCTGCAATGTCTATATACATTATACACCAACAAAACCTGCCGGGCAACCAGCCTGTCGACTGAGCGTCTCCCGCCGCTCACCTGGTCGTCGTGGACGGTGGTGATGACCAGCGTATCCTCGGAGACGGCCCCCGAACCGCGAGCCATCGCGTACTCCAGGTCAGCGTAGCCCTCGCCCTTGCCGATACGGTATCCTGTAGTGGGAAGGGGGACACAGTCTTGATGACGGACACAACAATAAGAAGTCATTGACACACCAATTTGACAAATAACTTTAAGACAACCGATCACATGAACACATGAAGACTACACACAATACAAAATTCGTAAGTGTGTCCAATCTGTGGGGAATGAAGAAGCCAAACAATATTGTAACTTTCTCCTGCTCACCATCCTTGGAGACGGCCACCGATCCGACGACGATCAGGTCCACGGGCACGATGTTGTCCAGTCCGACGGGCGAGCTGAACTTGCTGACGCCCTCGGCGCGTGACACGCGGCGCAGCTCTTCCTTGGAGAGTCCCGGCGGCGTCAGCCGGTTGAAGAGGCCGTGACGGAGCCGCGGCGTCGGCACCAGCACCGTCTTCTCTGCCTGCCGACCGACGGGGGGGGGGGGGCGTCAAACGGCGGCACCGACCAGGACATACGTCTTGAACACCATCGAACTCATGCTTTTTTAGTGTGTGTGTGGGGGGGGGGGGGGAGGAGCAAAAGGACGACTAGCCACAAATCAAGACAGTTTCTGGATCTAGAGGTAAAACAGTCATCAACTTAGCACACATTTGACGAAACAACATTTATGATAAATGCTGTAAAAAGGTCGACAGCTTAATTTCCGCACCAATTACGATGATGAAGGCGATAACTTGGGTTTAATGACGACGCAGAATCGCCTGTCGTTACCGCACCAAACTGGCTTATGTAGCTCGGATAGGTACCATGGCGTGGTTTAGGCATCAAGAAGCACAAAATCGAGAATTATAATTGGCAATTCTAACTACTACTTGACCAGGAACGACTAGAAGTGTTTTCACCCGTATATCTGACAGGTTTACGCGTTACAGGTAGCAGGTTGTAGGCCTTACGTGGACATCAAAAGTTTATAAGAAAAGTAATAAAATAACTAGGTTCAGTCGGTCAAGCCCGGGCAAATTTTAAAACAAATAGCTCAATTTGTCTATGAACTAAAGTACCTATAACTCCAGTTTGCCAGTAGCAGGACCAGATTAGCTTCCGCTTCTTTCCCAGGGGTACCATCAATCGTAACAAATCCGAAAACTAGCGTTGCGACCACCTATTTTTCGAGACAGCGCCCGTTCTTCGCCACCTGAGCCGTCTTTTCAGCGGTCTTCTCGTCACAGTTTACAGAGCACGCTCCAGAGCCCAGCCGAAACGAAAGCCAGGCACTATCTCCAGACGGTGCACGGGCCAAGCTTCTGCTACTGAGCGGGACTGAATGGGAGTCCATGGGGAAGTAGGTGCGCAGGTGTGGAATGGCGAGGCTTCGTATACTCATATGTAAAGGAGTGCAAAATTACCAGCACCTTAACCCGCGCACCGACGGGGGTCTGCGCCAACTTCGCACCGACGGGGGGGGGGGGGGGGGGGCGGATGACCGCCCCCCCTGAGATCTCGAGAACGAAGCAAGATAGCAACAAGCGGTAAACGACATCGGATACGCACGGCCAAGATCTACAATCTTTACTAAGGTCATTTTCAGGTCAGGTCAAAGATGACGTCACAGGGGTCGAAAAAGTCAAAATGGCGGCGCTAGATATGGAGAGAGTTTTTCTCGAATAACTTTCGAATTAGTCAAGATAGGAACAAACTAAGGGCATGATCGTGATCCTCTCGTCAATCCGCATCGAATGATATATATGTTGACCTCGAAAGGTCAAGGTCAAAGGTTGACCTCAGGTCACGTGACCTCGAGGTCATCATGTATATCATTCGATGCGTCTTGACGAGCTGAACACAATGAGACCATCCACGCGTCTGTATCTTGTTCCTGTACGGAGTTATTGGCCAAAAACCTTTGGTGACCTTTGATGACGTCACATGACCTCACAGCTGCCCAACAGCAAAACAGACCTCAAGGTAGTGAAGGTTGATCGTATATGAAGTCATGTATGGTATATGGGGCCATTCCGACCCGTTTTAGTGGTAAAAACAGGGAGTTGATTTTTCCCCCATTGACTTATAATGGGGAGGTCGCGAAATTGACCTGACCTTAGGTCACCGATATCAAAATTCCAAGATATACAAATTGTAGCTACTAATGACCTAATAATATCTTGCGACTTTCAAAGGCCTCCGACATCTACTGTAGCTCTGGCACGGTGACAAAGTTGCAAAAAAGTGACTTGAGGTTGGGTCATTCAAAGTGACCTGGTGACCTGACCTTAAAAGGTAGGAGGTTCAAACTTGCACACCATGTGTAAAATTGATGAGGTTATAGTCATACCAAATTTCGCGGCGCTACGCGCCGCGGTTTTCCCGCTATTCGCGAAAAACCTCAGGGGGGGGGGGCGGATATCCGCCCCCCCCGTCGGTGCGCGGGTTAACTTTGCTATAACGGTATCGATGTATCGGTATCGACGGAAATAATGATATCGATCTGATTCAAGTCGAATACCCGTCGAATCCCACAAGCACGGTCGGTTACGGCCTGCCTGTCACAAGTTAGCCTGTCAGTCATATCACACTTCCATTGTCGACAGTATAATTATCTCCCGCACCAATGAAGCTGACTTCTCACTTCTAGCGTAGAAAATTCTGACTTCCTGCACCAATACAGCTCACCACTCACTTCCAGCGCCTACAGTTCTCACCTCCTACACCTGGAAGACTCACCTCCAGTGCCAGGAAGCGCACGGTCTCCTGCGGCTTGTCCGGGTTCACCTTCACCACCTTGGCCTGCTTGAACTCGTCGAGTGCGGCCAGCGAGTGCGCCGCCGTCGCGCCGCCCTTGAAGTTGGGGATTCTGAAACGATCCGAGGCATCAATGAAGCAACGAGTATTGCAAGTTAGCCTTTATGCTGTACTGGTAGTTGGTGCTATAAAATACCACTGGACACGTGTAACGTGAAACGGAATGGAACGGATTCAAGGGAAGGAGTGAATGTTTTGAAAATATCCACCAAACCTTACAGGGTCGCCGCGAGATGTTTACCGGAAAATACGCAACAATCTAAAAAAGCTGCATTAGCAATTACGGGTAGCAGAGTCGGGAAGTTGAGTACACACTACACAGGTAACAAGACGCGGTGCGCAAATGTCCATGCAGAGGCGAGGGTGAGGACAGACATCGCCATGAGGCAAACAGCCGTGAAAAAAAAACACACATACAAACACCCGGTCCATTACTGAGTGCCGGCCGACGGGCTGCCCCGCTCCGGAGGCAGCGCAGGGAGGGGTCGCTCCCCAGCAGCCGGGTGGTGGCGTGGGATTTCATCACCGGCCACTGGGAGTGTCGACCGCCCGCATCCCAGTCACTGTGCCGCCCACAACCCGCACAGTGCACAGCCACCCGACCTGACCCAGTTAGTTCGAGAGGGTAGAGTTTTAGTCGACAGAGACATCGATTTAGATTTATCATACTCAGACTTCGCGGGCTGTCACTAGCCGCCACCCATCCGCAGACCCGCCGACACCCTACCCAAACACTGGCACCGCAAACCCAGCAATATAAAGGGGAAGAGTGCCAGTGTCGTGATAGCCTAGCATTATATAACCGAGCCCGTGGGAGGGGCGATAGCCACGTTTCGGAAAATTCGCTACCAACAGCCATTTGCCGATCAATATAAGCGAATATTTCGAATCGAGGCAGGCCATACGCACTGATGGCGCTGCAATTTATGATCTACATTAGATAAACTTTCGGAAGTCATCCCTTTAGTACTCAGTGACGCATTGACACCGACGCACGTTGTCTGTGATGTCATCGTGTCGGACCAACCTGCATGGTGACATCATACCGATGACATCATGACGATGACGTCACCCCGTTCCGCGACAGACCGTCCCTCCCGGAGCCGCCCAACCCTGCGGCAGCCCCCAGCGAGGCTCGGCAGCCACCAACCCAGCCGCAAACACTGCACACGTCGTGTGTATGCCAGGACGCTCGCCGGCGCCGGGTCTGGCATATATTGACCCAACTACATCACGGTCACAGAGGTAGAAACCGGACAGGCTCCGGCAGCTGGTTTTTCAGACGACTGACAGTCTAGAATCGAACCACTGGGCACACTGTATTACACAACGCAAAGATGAATAGGTATTCGACACGATGTGATATTGCATAGAATCATTGATACATAGCTAAAGTGTCGATGAAGCCAGATCAGAATCTGTCGACTGTCGACAGAAGGCGGATAACGCGTACGGTTGATCCCACGCTATAGACGGCACTCAGGCTACACAAGTGGCCCATGTGACAGTTCGATCTTTAAAGGGACAGTATCACCATTTTGATGAAATTTGACATTGCATAGGCCCCACCTTTCTGGTCCGGGAACTGAAGACCGATCCTCGAAGCTCCACACCGTTATCCCGCTATCGCCGCTCAAAGTACGAAAGGTGTACCACACTTTGAATCGTGCTTCACTATCTTCACTGTTTAAATGTTTGCGCCGTTTTGAATTGACCGCCAGTAATAAAACTTTTACCCTGGTCATTTCATCAAATTTTATAAAGCCAAAACGTTTTTCGCACTTATTCATCACCGTTAAATTCATTAAATAGTCGTAGGCAATTTCCGCTGTTTCCTTCGGATTCTAGCGGCTCAACAAAGGAATTCCTCCAGCTTGAATCACAATCTCCCTCCAATGTATGACGTTTATCACGTGATTGTCACGTGATATTTTCTCCCATTGTCAATTGTCACGTCCAATTGTCACTCCCTCCAATTGTCACGTTATATTTTTATAGGCAATACCTAAGGCTACCTCTCCCTAACGACAACTCAATCAGAAGAACGACCGCGTAAGCGTAGTGTCTATAATGTGTTATCTGCGCCAGTTCTGTAGTAATTTTGCATGCTTCCAAACTGGCGGCCATGCTTGTATAGTGGTGGTTCGCTCATGAAAATGAATCATGAAAATGAAATGTGGTTGCAATATTTTTCACCGAGTTCGGTCCTCAAACTATGTTTTTCTGATTCAGAAAAATAAGAAATGCTAGTAAAAAAAAAAATCAGCTCCATGCATGGATTTTTTTTTCGATGATACTGTCCCTTTAAAGGGACCCTCCCACCTTAACATTAGTTTTGAGTTGAGATAGCCAAGTTTGCGGCCAGGCTCAGAAACCACCATTTATCCTGGTCGCAACCCCCGCAGCTTTATGGTGTTCAAGAAATTTCTTCCCTTTACTTGCAGGGTGGGACCAGCGTGGTCCCTATCTCTTAACCATTACGGGAATCTGATGACGTCATCAGGCTTTCGAACGTCCGTTAAATGTTTGACTAAAACGTTTTGTAGCACGCGGTGGTATATGCTGCTTTGCGCGCAACAAATGCCGCACTTTCAAATAAAGTCGCTAGGAACAGCGAAGATCCCAAAAAGTAAACAAAAGTAAAAGTCTAATATCTTGAAAACCAATGAATATTTTTCGATGAAATTTGGTAGATATTCATTTTTGCTCTTTCTGAACCGAGCGACATCATTTTCATGCCAATTCATTAACTTTTTTGAAGGTGGGAGGGTCCCTTTAAACAGCGCTTCCAGTTCACCGTTTCCCCGTAACAACCATTAGTGGACTCGCTGGAAATACTACTCGCCTACCATTATGTCCTTCAGAAAACCTGTCTACGAAACGTTCGGAAATGACGGACCTTATGCTGTTCCGGGTTCTCCCTCCGCATTTTTAAACGTCAATGAGTGAATTCTGATATAGTAAAATAACATCGCAAATTTAGTAGATGATGCTTAACATTCATTTCCTTAGTAATCCGTTTGAACAAAGGAAACCAATATCAGTTTCGATATGTCAAACTCCGAACGATCGATAAATGATCTATGTTCAAAGCGTTGGCAGATGGCAGCATCAGGTCTCGACTTCAGTCTCGACTTATGCGGCATTAAAACGGAAAAAAAAACGAAACTGGAAAGATAACGATCTCTGTTGCGCGTTTTATCTGCCCAGTGCAGATCAGCTCCACCTCCCAGACATTGCTGATAGGATCCTGTCACCGACCGGCGGCGGAAGCGACATCGCGCCCTGGCAGACTCCGTCCCAAAATAGACGACTGAGGTGCCGCGCCCGCGCGGGGAGGGGGAGGCGAGACGTGATGGATAAACATGGCACGAGAAGGCACACGCGCACACGGAGGGAGGAGGGAAGATGTGGCATGGAATTCTAGCAAGGGACACTAATTAACTTGTGTAACTTATTGTAATTAATCTGTATACAGCTTTGCATTCAGAGCAAGGCAAATTTCGTGAAAAATCGCTGAAAATAAACTGAAGCCTATAGTAGCATGCGAATGGAACAGAGAGTTTACTTACCTATTATGCACAGGTCTTGGAAACTCTGCCAAATCATTCTTTTCTAAATGGTCCCATACCTTCTTTCTGAAATCATTTTTGGTGACCAGTGGAACACCAGCCATAACTGAAATGAAAAAAATCAGCATTCTCAGCAACACAGAAACAATACCTATCACAATCACAGAGAAACATTATATTGAATATTGCATGATGACAAGACATGCAAGCTAAGAAGTAATCATGCTTATGTACAAGGAATATTCACCTAGGTAATAACTGATGAAGCAACACAATGCTGTTTTAAGCAGCTTGTTATGTCAGGGTCCCGGTCAAGAAAGAAAGAAATATATATTTATTCTTAAACATGTCAGTTTCTTTTCACAAAATACCTATGTAGGGTAAGGGTCAGCATGACACACAACCTAGCATAAATAGCACTAGTTTGTAAAGTATCTGAATATGAGGATGGAGAAAGAACTAGATAGGTAGGTACAGTCAGGACATGGAAAACTTATTTCAATTCACATCAAATATTAACACAGGAGCAAAAGTATGCTCAGACTCTTGGCAAAAATATCCCTCAATCCAGTAATGATTTACTTCACCTTAAAATGAAATTAAAATGTTCATGAGGTTGGTGTTCATACAATGTTCATATATTGCATGCAATAAGAGATTAAAAAATAAAGTTAGAAAATGTAAATTATACTTAGTAGGCAATAGACACCCCAGTCCTTCATCCATAGCAAGAATCACTGAAGTGTTAATGCAATCTTGAAAATGAAGTTTTATCTACACTTAGGAGTTAGGACCTACAGTCCTACAGTGTCGCAAAATCAGATAAATGGGAAACAACATTTGTTTGTTTTGTTGGGTTAGACCCTTTTGGGCTGACAAGACCATTTCAGATCCAGAAGGATGATAGGAATTAGGGGGAGACATTGGTCTGGGGGCAGACACCCTAGAAAGTCTGAGCCCGTCCAAATAGACACGCCGACCAGCCCCCCCCCCCCCAAGCACTCCCTGCAGCCAGCTACAGAGTGCTCTGCCTCAGAATCAGCAGTGCCACTCCAAGAGAGCAGCTCGCAAGAGATAAAGGTGCCTGTCCAGCCCGGAGTGCGGCGTGGAGAAGGATTTCAGTATCCTGAGGATGGAAGCAACGGAACAGAGGAAACAACATTCAAAGGAAAATCCTTTTAAACTCTCATCTTGAGTTTCAAGTGCAATTTTTCATTCCATGAGAAAAAGCATTTTGATTTGCATGGATGGCCGTTTTAAGTCCTACATTCTTAAATACCATGCTAGTATACAAATTTATGCCCTTTTCCACTCTTTTTTGGCCTGATCTTACTAACACCTTTTAACTCTTATCCCCTTTTTAGAAAAATTCCCCCATTGACACCCATCCCAAGCCAAAATAGGTACAATTTTGGGACACTGAAGATACCGTAATTTATTCACCTCTACCCATTCACTTGTTTGCTCCTGTCTGTTGTGTTCCAAATTATGTGATGATCAAAATGAGAGATAAGTACCTTATGAAGAAGAGTACGGGGAAAAATTGATAATTATAATCGCAGCACCTCCTCTTTTCAATTCGCAGTCTTATCGCTTATCACGCAGCGTGATATTTACTCTGAAGCAATTGTTTGCGCCATAAATGCCTAGCAGCATGTGTTCTAGTGATGTGAGTACTTGTAATTTTACAGCATTTCTGAAGGTACTTTGTTCAGTTATGTTCTCAAAATATTCTTGTCGCGTGATTTATTTATATTTGATAAGTGTATTTGCTTTGTTTAAAGCCATTCAATCCTATTCCACATTTCCGTTTTGGTCACCATTATTTCATTTTAAAAGAAAACGTTGTACTCAAGTCATCAAATTCTCTATTTTGCCACTCTCTATTACATCTAGCGCCCGCCTGCGCTACTTTTGCCGCAACCGGTGTTTCACTTCAATGCCAGTGCTTGGAAGGGAAGGTATGAATGAATTTTGTCGTATTCAGTGTTACAACTCAAATGTCAAATGATATACAGTGAAATTATTTTAATTTGTTAAACATCTCTTATTCGTTTCATTTCATGATTTTTATCCATTGTTTTGCCGCAACTGCTTGATAAATAGGTACCGTCAAATGACAATTTAAATTCATGTTATAAGGCTTGTGGTGATTGTCCTTGCATTTTTGGTCAACCGCTCCCTGTACCAGTCGGGGAAACTATGGTAAAATCTGCTATTTTTAGCAGTCTGCTATTTTTAGCAGAAATCTGCTAAAAATGGGTACGCATGTGACGTCATCGTACCCAAATGTAGCAGATTTGGGTACGGCCCCATACAAAAGCAGATCTGCACCCTAATTGAAGCAAATGCGCATCAAATGCCTGGCAGATTCATGATGAGAATAGTGCTGAGAGTGATCTCTGCTGTTTTTGTTCAGATCCGACTATTTTCAAATTCATTATTTGAAAATAGTCAGATCTGAACAAAAATATCAGAGGACATTCTCAGCACTATTCTCATCATGAATCTGCCAGGCATTTGATGCGCATTTGCTTCAATTAGGGTGCAGGTCTACCTACTTTTGTATGGGGCCGTACCCAAATCTGCTATATTTGGGTATGATGATGTCACATGCGTACCCATTTTTAGCAGATTTCTGCTAAAAATAGCAGACTGCTAAAAATAGCAGATTTTACCATAGTTTCCCCGACTGGTACTGTACAAAGCACTGGTCCGTCTGCAGTCTGCACTTAGAGTAGGTACTGTTATCAGATATGGGGCCCGTTCAATGCTGCGGACAGGCGACGGGTCGAGAGGGTACATTGTAGATAGTCCCTGAACTTCTACACCTTCCGTATGAGGAAAGGTTGAGAGAACTGAACCTTTCGTCTCTGCAATACTGGCGTTGTCGCGGCAATGTGATCTCGACATACAACATCATTCACAGTCGCTGCGACTTGAACAAGGAGGACTTCTTCATGCCTGTACTCACAATGTGTACTCGTGGCCACAGACTGAAGATTGCCAAAAAGCCTGCAACCAGTCGGGTCAGGCGCCAGCACCTTTCAGCCCAGGTAGTGACCAATTGGAATGGCCTCCCTGAAGATGTCTACGCACCTTCAGTCAACAGCTACAAAAACCAGCTTGACAAGCACTGGAGAGAACTCCAGTACCAAACAAACAAATAGACCAAGTTTGTTGACGCTTCCCGAGCTCGATCAGAAGGAGCTACCAGGCAATCCTAGTGCTTCTTCCGATCCCATTAATCAGGTACCTATCAGGTATTTATGTAGGTCTATAGTTGTACAAAGTAATAGGACAAAATAATCCTGAGATTGCATCTTCTCGAGAAACTGAAGTGGTATGATGATGGAGGCAAGCTTCTCAAATCTCACCTGGATATGGGCCTTCATAGTTGGCCGTCGCCAATGGGTGCTAATCCGGGGATGCAGCTCTGAGTGGGCAGTGAGCACCTGTCTCTATTGGTATCCCTCAAGGCTCACTTTTGGTTCCAACGTTCTTCACAATATTTATCAATGATATGCCACTGGAGGTCTCAAGCCAGACTGGAAAAAATAGGTATGGAGGACCCTTTTGAACATTGCCGAGCGTCGTTAAGTAATACTGCAGTGGGTTCCTGCCCACTGCGGTATCGAGGGGAATGAGATCGCGGACGACCTGGCGAAGCAAGCGGCCGCCCTGCCCTCAAACGCCCGCTCGGCGCTCGCTGACCAGGGCTGTTCATTGTGCGGCCTCGCATCAGTGGCGCGACAACTGGTCCGAGTCACTATTCAAGCCATTTCTCGGGAGCACGCCGCCGCTCCCTGTCCCCGGAAAGGACCGAGAGGATGTCGTTTCGGTGCACCAGATGAGGGCGGGCCATTGGGGCCGCTCGCTCCAGTACGTGCACCAAATCGACTGTCTCCACTCCGCGGCGTGCCAGCGGTGCCCAGACAAGCGGTGCCCCGCGGCGCTCTGCGCTATGTGCCGAGAAGAGGCTGATGTGCCGGAACACGTGATGCTCCGCTGCCCGGCTCTCGCTGGCTCCCGCCAGCCTCGAACACACCGCTCCGCCGATTTTTGTGGCTCCGAAACTTCCGGCTCCAGCCTTGTTTCACGGCACGACGCTACAGTGCCCTAAGCGTATTGAGGTATTGGGTTCCCGTGAAAATAAAAGACTTATTCGGACGCTCAAACATGGGAGGGCGTCCAAGGTCCCGGACTGCTCTGTCTGGTTGATAAAGCCTTGATCGGTAGATGCGTACATGTGCTCTATATAAAAGTGGCTTAATTTTGGCACAAATAGGCACCCAATTTTCGGCGCGAATCATGCAGAAATTTCAGCACAAATTCGCATGCGCCGAATTTCGGCGCAAGAGGGTCTCACGGGTGTATGGACGGTTTCCAGTCTGGGTCTCAAGCTGAATGAAGATGTTCGCGGACGACACCAAGCTATATAAGCCACTCACACATCCATTCGACCGTGGTGCTGGCCCGCAGAGTGATCTGGACGCTCTGGAAGCGATGTGCCACCAACCACCTTCTTCACCCAGAACGAGACCGAGCTGACGAGCGAGAGGACACGGGTGGAAACTGCTCAGACCCCGAGCTGTGACACTCGCTCGACGAAGCAGCTTCAGCGTCGCATCGTCAGCGGCTGGAACGCTCTACCTGCTGAAGTTGTGTCTGCCGAAACGCTCTCGACATTCAAGGCACGACTTGGCCGTCGCTGGACCCACCTAATGTACAGTCTGTCTTAAAAGTACCGCGCAAAGTGACGGTGGATCCATCAAGCCTGACCGATGAAGGACTGCCAAATTTGAGTCACCGAAGCAATGGACATCCTCGTCCATTCCCCAGCTCCATTGGTTCGGTGACTTTCAAATTATAGCAGGCCCTTCCTCGGTCAGGCTTGATGGATCCACCGTCACTTTGCGCGGTACTTTTAAGACACACTGTACATATGTCATGCCACAACCTTAGGAGTCCTGTATGTCACTGCAGAGTGCAATACTTGTGCAATACTTCTATTAATTTTGCTATCAAAACAGAAACTCCTGATGAAGTTCATGTTGCTTTGGCATATGGTACACAAAACCTGTGGTGAGATAGGTTGTGGAAAGTGAGAGCAATGTGCATGTGCAACCTCAACAGTCAACCTGGTGAAGGCAGTCAAATAAGATGAAATGACTGACTTTGCAGGGAAGGGAATGCTTGGACCTGACATCCAAATCCCACAATCATTATGCCTAGAATGCCCAAACTGATGGTAAGGCCTGGGTGACAAACTCTGATTAGGTTCTGGGTCTGTCATTTTTTTCATGACGCTGTGTCAAACATTCAAGTGAAAAAGTAAGTTTTTGTGATGCTCAAGAAATTTTTTCAAGTCATCTCAAGTTAGGTGGAAAACATCTCAAACATGAACTTTAATGGTGATGTACAATTTTCAGGTGGGTATGCTTGATGCCTGGGCTGAGAATGGAATCAATTCTTTAAATGCTTGATTCCAAGTTGACAAAAAATCTCTCTCCTAGTCCTAGATCGTACTGTATAGGGACTGGAGCATATGCTGATGTCAAGGTGGCATAGAATAGTTATAATGGGCTTCAGCTCACTGTCTTCAACACATCATTCTCATAGACATAGTCCATACTTTTATATGTGTCGCCTTACATTATGCACACCCTCTTTTTCAGAAAATAATTTGCATCTCCTCACTGCGGTGGAAATTCACATTGGTATACTTCAACATACAAAATGAGTGGGGGAGTCTATGGAGGCGGTATGTATCTCATTTTTTAAGAATAAATGTCATTTTTGTTGAGGCTTTTTTGAAAAGTTTTATTGATAAGCTATGTTGGCTTTATGCTATTATCAATATTTTTTTCCTTGTTTTGCTAGGGAGGCATTCAAAACACTATACATCAGTGTTACAAGACGATTTAACCCTGACTTCTAACAGTCAGCTGGCATGCTACAAGCATCCTGTTCAATATCAGTGACACTATAGTCTGATGTTATCCTGACGAGCCTACCACCCACCCCCGTAAGTTGCGGTGCCGGTGCTCACTCCTCTGACGCCTCTCAGACGAGGTGGGCGCGCTGGTGTTCGACCTGGGCCACTACTCGCTGCGCGCCGGGTATGCTGGTGAGGAGGCGCCCAAGTCGGAGATCCCGGCCACGGTCGGCGTGCTCGAGGAGGCCACGGCCGCCGCGCAGATCGGCACGCCCATGGAGGTGGACTCGGCGGCGGCCAATAAGGACGCAGCCGCGCCCAAACGGAAGTACTACATCGACACCAACGCGCTACATGTGCCCAAAAAAGGTGAGACGGTCGTACCAAGACTCGAGTATCGTGGGAAGTAGGAAGTTAAGAACCTGGTTTATGTACCCGTATGTCAAGCTCGCTGGTCATCTCGAACGATAGTTCATGGCTTAGATACTTTTGCTGTCTTTTGTGTATCTCGTATATATTTTCGCCCGATGTTTTTTAGCAACAAATAATTAATTCACACGTGCCCACAGACGTGGAGGCCGTCAGTTACATGAAGGACGGCATGATCGACGACTGGGACCTGTTTGAGAACGTGCTCAACTACGCCTACTCGCAGTGCATCAAGTCAGACTCGGAGCTCCATCCAGTCCTCATGTCGGAGGCGCCGGTAAGTTGGACTGATTCGAGACGGATGGAGTTCTTTGAATTTATGCAATTGACCTTGGTAAAATGGCTTTGTTGGCTGGTGATTTAAGTTGTCACAATCTTAGTTGCTTGATATTGTAATGAATATTGCTGAAGGTTTTCTGGCTTGATCGTGATTTGTTGCAGCAGTGTTTCATTGGGCTGTCGTGAGATGTCCCCACTATCTCCATTCTCCACTCCTTATCACCCCTCACTGACTGCCTCAGCTTTGTTCAACATCGTTCTGCCAACAGAGCACTGAAACCCGTGACGGCATTCCCCGTCCCAAGCGCATGGTGTGTAACTGTCGGCTGTCATCCTCTGCCGCCTATCTGACCCTCCCTCCGCTCTCCCTCACAGTGGAACCACCGCGGTCGGCGAGAGAAGCTCACAGAGCTCATGTTCGAAAAGTACAACGTGCCGGCCTTCTTCCTGGTCAAGAACGCCGTGCTGGCCGCGTTCGCCAACGGCCGCTCCACGGCTCTGGTCCTGGACAGCGGCGCCACACACACCTCGGCCGTCCCCGTGCACGACGGCTACGTCCTCACACAGGGGATCGTCAAGAGCCCGCTGGGCGGGGACTTTCTGACGGCTCAGTGCCGTCAATTTTTCGCACAGAATGACATCGAGGTGATCCCGCCGTATATGATTGGCGGAAAGGAGGCGGTGAAGGACTATGAGAAGGCCAAGTGGACGCGGCGACCCAACCTGCCCGAGGTCACCAAGTCGTGGCATGACTACATGGTCAACGTGAGTGGGGCACTGGACGAGGATAAGTGGCGGGTGACTGAAGATCTAGGACACGAGCGTTGCAGTATTTGGTTGGAAAGACATTTTTTCACAGTATCGATGTATCTCAGATTGGCATGTTGATTACCTTCTTACTAAATTTTATCATTATCTACTCGCTTACGTTTGATATTTTTTATTAAGCTGCCTTGTTTTTACTGTTCTCACTTTTCTCAAACAGTAATAGGTGGATGCCTCTTTAATTTCCAACTCCTGAAAATGCCTATATTGTGCCGAGTCTAACACCTTTCTGTCTCGTCTCACCCGCAGGAGGTGGTCCAGGATTTCCAGCAGTCGATCTTGCAGTGTGTTGACGAGTACAGTGAGGAGACCATCTCTCAGATGCCTTCTGTTCCCTACGAGTTTCCCAACGGATACCATCAGGTAACGATCTGGCCAGGGAACCGAGAGGGCTACGTCGCTCGACTTTATAATAGCTCTGCTTGTAAGAATTCAACGTGTTTTAGCGTGACTATATTTATAAGAAGTATAGTGTAATGAATGTATGCTCACTCTAATCTCCATTCTGCTAAACTCGGCCTGATAACTTCCCAGTACTTCGCTCAACGTTGTCCGAGAGGCGTTATGTGGGCGGTTGCTAAGTGTACATTTATGGGGTGTTGTGCAGGGAGGTACTTCAAATGGCACCCTTCTGTGTCGGTAGCATTGTAATTTTGATAGGTACCTTTGCAACGTTGTTTACCTCGCTTCGTGTCTGGCATTAACTCAGCTGTCAATTGTAAGTGATTTCATGTTGCATGACCACCTGACTAGCTGCCTGTCAGTTATGTTGCATGCACAATGTAAATGCAAATAGCAACTACCTTATGACATCATAATTTAAACCCTCCAGCCTCTATCGCTGACGTGTCGTGAAGGACCGGGTCTGAGGCGTGGGTGCACCTTCTGTGGGCTGTGCCACCGTCCGTCCGCCCAGTGCCACCGACATGTCACCCTCTGACTAGCTCTGACATCACTCTGACATCACCTCTGACGTCATATGTCCGTGTCCGCCGGCAGGACTTTGGCTCGGAGCGGTTCAAGATCCCCGAGTGTCTGTTCGACCCGAGTAACATCAAGGGCGTGGGCTCGACGATGCTGGGGATGGGCAACGTGGCGCACAACGCGGTCAGCATGTGCGACGCCGACCTGAGGCCGGTGAGTGCTCAAGGCGCGGGGATACTGAGGGGCTGGGACGGCTACTGAGGGAGACCTGGGGAGTTTGAGTGACGAAACATAGGTGGCGGATGCTGTCAGTTTTTTGGTTTCTAGAAAGTAATGACTTGTTGTACATTACAATATAGGACTGACTTATTTTAACCGCCAGTCAGCCGATCGTTCGGCTTGTCTTCCTTTTTTATTTTGACAGTGTTTTTTTATAAGCCAGCCTATAACTTCTGTCGGTTTCTCGCCCCTTCCTCCTCGTGTTTTTACTCTTTTGTTGCAATGTTTCCATGTGTCGACTCTCCTCGTCTACGCCCTTCTTCTGTATCCTTCCACATGCTGATACGTTCCGTCTCGCCTCTAGAACCTGTACGGAAACGTGGTGGTGACGGGTGGCAACACGCTGCTGCAAGGCGTCCCCGAGAGACTCAACAGGGACCTCTCACGCAAAACGCCACCGGTGAGTCGCACAGCGGGTTCCTACTCCGGAACCGAAACAGGGGACCGTTCAAAGAGACGTGGTTGAATTATATTCCTCCTGTTTTAATTGGTTTTGTGATACGACTTCTTTTCCGAGGCATAGATATAACTGGGCGCTGCTTCCAGTTTGTTTGCCGTATCGCATGGACTATCTGAAACAAGCATTTCTGTGATGATTCAAGCGAAAATAGTTATTTCATGTTTGTATCTCATCAGTGGCAGTCTGTGTCTCAATTTCAGCATGTCATCAACTCTGTAATACAGCTCCCAGTTTTGTAGTACTGACTTGTGTCCGGTACGTTTCCGCAGAACATGCGTCTGAAGCTGATCAGCGCACAGGGCAGCTCGGAGCGCCGGTTCGGCGCCTGGATCGGAGGATCCATCCTAGGATCGCTCGGATCCTTCCAGCAGATGTGGATCTCGAAACAGGAGTACGAGGAGGGCGGCCGAAGCCAGGTGGATCGCAAGTGCCCCTGATTGACGGACATCAGCTGCACCTCACGGGATCGCACATGGTTAGACCATTTGTGGGTGGCATCTGACTCAAATTGGCGTCACTTGAGACTGCCTGAATCGATGGGCTCTCGCGTTCGGCGTTATTTTCGGTCCTTTTCGATGGCGCTGCCTGTGAGGAAGACAATCTCTCATCTCAGCCCTCATGAAAAAGCATGCGAAGACTGGCAATGGAAGCGTGGAGCGCAGTGCGCGGTGAGGTTTTGACCCTGAATGGACCGATGGCTCAGTGCAGAATGTGGGATAAGGTCGAGCCTAGTGGATAGAAGGCAAATGGGGGAAGGGGACAGGTGTATCGAACAGGCCGGCGAACGGAACAGCGGTTATGGGTCAATGATAGCTACCCCAGCTATTTGGAGCTTCGCGATCCGGAGTGTCTGCGACTAGATTTCAGCGTTGTCTGTGAAACGCTGTAACATAGGCTGGTCCTGGTCATATTCAGTCCAGGTATGTGGAATTCTTACCGCTCAGCGCCAGGTTTTTTCTTTTTGTTGCTCTGACTGGAGAAAGTTACAGAATTCATGCGTTCCAGTGTGGGGTCTGAGGCTTTTTGAAGCCTTATACATATTTTGCATTATCATCTGCATCACTTTTTCAATCATCTTGTCAGCGTCATTGTCGTAGTTTTGTCACTGAGCTGTGCGGCAGGTAACTGTAAATGCACTATCTGCAAGGCGTTGCGTTTCTTTATCACGTGAGCTATGCGGCCAACTCCAAGATGAGTTGGAGAAGATGGCGCTACGTTCGCGGCGCGGGCGCCGTCAAGCAGATCCGATTAATGGTTTTTTGAAGCATGAGTGCATCTTACATGTCAGGTATATTTTCCATCACAGGTACTTCGCTGCAAAAGAAAGCCTTTTTTTAGGAAATGTTAGGTTTAGAAAAAATGGCGACCTTTTTAGATAAACAGCTCTTTTACGAGAATCAGGCACGAGTGTCAATTACAACCCTTTATCTAATTTTCGTCGCCGCATGCAAATACTTCAGAAATCACAACGTCGGCAGACAACCAGAGGCAGCGATGGCCGAGTCATGGATGATTTTCTTAAGCTGAGAATACCATAAATCAGATTTTCATGGATGAGATAATCATCCATGGCCGAGTCTTTGGGTCCGACACATGCGGCTCTGACCGCTGCCCGTCCAGACACGATGTTCTGACGCGAACTCAATGGTCCGACGCTGCTGTCTGACCGAGACAGACCTGCACTTTATCAATGGCAGATGATATGTCATGGCACGTGCGCTGTGCAGAGTGGCCTTAAAATCAGGTCACAGCATGGTTGCCAGACTTGTTCCATGTGACAGGTGCAGTTCCTTGTGTCCGAGGACTTACTATGTTACCTAATTACCTCTTTGTTAGTTTTAATATCTCATATTTTCAGAGGTTAGAATAGTTCAAGCTTGCTTCGGAAATAAGACGTCACGAGGAAATTGTAGATATGGTAGGTGTCATTGTCAGAATATGGCATGCGTCAGATATTCAAGACCGGATACTTACGCATATTTGGTAGCTGTGAGCCTGTGTGATGAACCGTAATTGAACATCCGTGACGGCCAGCTCCCCGGGGTCCTTCTCACCAGAGTGCTCTCTCGGTCAGAGTTCGGTCCCGCGTTTTAGGGCGGGCCGGAACCAGGCCGGAACAGCTGAGGTCCGGGCCCGACCTCTGCCGCCGGCTGATGGTTATCGGCACTCAGGCGCCGCTCACCCGCCGGCCAATGCCACTTTATTCACACCGGCACCCGACGCTAATTCCGTCATTCGTTTTTTATATGATTTTCTTCATGAGATGCTCTTGAGATACCCACCACCCTCGCTTCTAGGTAGCTTCATAAACTCTTCTTTTTGCCACGTAATTTGACAGCGCACACGTTGAGTCATAAATCGCGCTTTTATTACGGAGTCCTTATTCCACTTCAAAGGTATCCTAGCGCTCTACAACTTAAAATGACTGTCCTCACAGGTAACTTATTATCCATTTAGCGATAATAAACCTGGAAGCCGCTGTGCAGGAACATGCAAGCAAGTTCGCCCGTCTGGCCTCGTGCGGCTTACTCTCACTGTGGGAGCGTGAATCAGCATTTGGCTCGCGTGCGCTGCGATTAGGCTGAAATTAGCACCATGGGCCAAATCGGACACAAATGCTGGTGAGCTGTCGACACAGCGGCAGCTGGAGTGACGGCACGAGACGCGTCAGCCGACTGTGAGGTCACCCGCCTCTGTGGTCGCTAGTCCATGTCCACGGCCGGATCAACCGTATCACTGCCGGCAGTGAGCTGTTACACGTTTTCAAGGAGATGATTTGATTCGAATCGTGTCAAAAGGAGACACAGAGCAAGCATAGTAGATAGTACAAGGCTCTACTCGAAGTCTGCTTGAACCAGGGCTCTGCTGAACCTGCAGCTATTTTAGGGAAACACTCTGAGTCTGTGTCTGGCATGTTTGATTTTTAATTTTCCGCTATCTGTCGTATCTCTGATGGTTAGGTTATGTGCTCTCTGGCTGGTGTACAAGTCCGGAATCTGCCCGCCAACTCTCCCATTAGCCGTGAGCTACGCCAACATTTGCGTGCATGACGATACAGAGTGCGACTCACCAGGACAGTTGGCGCCAAGCTCCAGAAAATTCACTATGAACAATGGTACTCAACTGTCCTGAATTGGCCTTGACCTTGGCCTTGACCCACAGCTGAGTTAAAACCTAGCAGTCACAGGGCTCTGGTTTAATGTCCCTCACTTTATCTTCCTCCTAACTCTAGCGTAATAATTGTCTTCTCTTGTCATATAATTAGCATTCAGCGCCTAATAACAGAAGCCAGACAAGAGCCCATTCAACCATCCTGAGGGACCTATTTCTATCAAACAAGAGGTACATATAGTCTCGGGTGACCCCCTTCCACCACTAAGAGTTACATATACAGGGTGCGTCATAAGTTCTGGTACACTTTTTCTTTCATCAATAAAAAAAGCTAAAACAGGTTTACAGAGTTGAGTATTTCAGTAGAGGATCTCTATGAAGTTAAGTCAAAACACGTGTAATATCATGAAAAAATATTAACTAGCTGAGCCTTAATGAAACAAATGGTAACTGACCGCCCGACAGCTAAGTGCACACCATGGCGCCTTTCTCCCCAACAAAGGAAGTTCGCGGGGCCATCGTCTGCATGAAGATGGCGGATATCTCAGTAGCAAAGATATGTCGCGCGCTTCGCTGCACGCGGAATCTTGTGTATCGGACGTGTACCCGGTACCAGGAGACCCAGAGTACCAGAGACCGATTCTGTTCCGGCCGCCCCCGGTTCGACCGCACGCCTCAGCTGAAAGCCGCGGTTCGCAGCCGGATTGTCCGCAACCCCGAGCGTTCCATGCGCCAAATGGCCCGGGACCTTAATGTGTCCGAGCGTTCCATGCGCAGACTCATTTCTAAGGATATGCGCGTGAAAAGCCTCCGCAAGAAGCACGTTCACTCCCTCAACGCTGCACAGCGCCACACACGGAAGGAAAACGCTCTCAAGCTCCTCCGGACCGGGGGCGGCCGGAACGGAATCGGTCTCTGGTACTCTGGGTCTCCTGGTACATACCGGGTCCACGTCCGATACACAAGATTCCGCGTGCAGCGAAGCGCGCGACATATCTTTGCTACCGAGATATCCGCCATCTTCATGCAGACGATGGCCCCGCGAGCTTCCTTTGTTGGGGAGAAAGGCGCCATGGTGTGCACTTAGCTGTCGGGCGGTCAGTTACCATTTGTTTCATTAAGGCTCAGCTAGTTAATATTTTTTCATGATATTACACGTGATTTGACTTAACTTCATAGAGATCCTCTACTGAAATACTCAACTCTGTAAACCTGTTGTAACTCTTTTTATTAATAAAAGAAAAAGTGTACCAGAACTTATGACGCACCCTGTATAGGTATGTAGCTTACATGCATAGCAAGATATTTCATAGGCAAGGAATCCAAACGCCGCATTGCAGCCTACTCTGCACCACTCTGCCCCTGCCCTCGGGCGTGTTGACCTCTGACCCCGCCAGACGGCCAGACGGAATTCCGCTGTCTTGTCGGCACCCTCTCCCCGACCCCCACGAGACCCATCGCCTGGTTGGGCGCCTCGGCGGGGGCCGGGGCTCGGGCCAAAACAGAGGAGTCTGCTTGGTGGTCGTTCAGAGGAGTCTTGTCCGACCAACCGAAGTTTACCCGAGGGCTGGAACGACATGTCTGCTGACTTATGCGGCAAAGTCAATTACTGCGTAATCAGTCGGGGGAGGTTTGGTCAATCGTTGTCATTTTTAGCACGTGCTATTTTTGTCACACGTGCTAAAAATGACAACGATTCTGCTATTTTTGACAACGATGAGGCCGATTTCACTCCTCAGCGAGGAAATGAAGATTTTGGAAAGATAAACACTGATTTTGGAAAAGAAGTGCTGCCACCTGGTGCAAGACGAAGAATCCAGCTTTAATATGCCTGTTATTTGTATGGTAGTTTGTTTTGTGGCCTGAAGTTGGAACTTAAAATTGAAGCATCCGAAAATGATTGATATTGATCGAAAACATGATGTTGATGAAAAAAATAATATTTTAAGTTGAGAGAGGAGGCCATTTTATCCAGATGCAGTAGTTTACTTCTTGAAATTATTTTTGCTAATGACGGCTGCTAATTATCCCTCATTACATGGCAGTCGTCGTAAGCAAAAATAATTTCAAGAAGTAAACCACCGCATCTGGATAAAATGGCCTCCTCTCTCAACTTAACATATTATTTTTTTCATCAACATCATGATTTCGATCAATATCGATCATTTTCGGATGCTTCAATTTAAAGTTCCAACTTCGGGCCACAAAAAAGGGTATACTTCAACGTTGGACTACCATACAAACAACGGCCATATTAAAGCTGGTTTCTTCTTCTTGCACCAGGTGGCAGCACTTCTTTTCCAAAATCAGTGCTTGTATTTCCAAAATCGTGATTTCCTCGCTGAGGAGTGAAATCGGCTTCATCGTTGCTAAAAATAGCTGATAGCGTTGTCATTTTTAGCACATGGTTGCCAAAAATGGCATGTGCTAAAAATGACAACCATTGACCAAACCTCCCCCAACTGTAATGTAGTAATTGCCGCAGTGGGTATTGGACGTGCCCAAATTGAACGGTTCATGCTAGAACGCACCTGGTCTCATTTTTTGTATACGGGGCATTGCACGGCTAACAGGTAGTAGGTACGAGCCAGTTTTCGGAAGCCGGCTTCACTTCGACCGACACAAAAATAGCGCGGCTATTTAGATGATGAAGCGATGCTTCTGAAATGGAGCGGCTTACCGCAGAAGCAACATTTCCAGAAGAATTAATTGCGAGCTGCAAAAAATGCGTGTAATTATGCCACTTGTTCGGGGCTAACGACAGAAAATGTGCCGAGCTAATGACTGATAGCCATACTGTCGGGTACCGCCGGCTGTCATAAAGCTATATTTGCACGGCGGCTGCGGGCGCAGGGTGGTAACTGCTGCCCAGTGTACCCACTCATTGCTCAGTCTTCCCTTGGCGGCTCCCGTAAACGACTCCGTGTGGGCCGGGCAGTCGGCATATGAATGGCGGTGACGTAAACATTGCGGCGGGTTCATGCAACAGTTTTCCGATGGTGGTCTGTGAATGTCGCCGTCCATGGCGCTGGTTTTGTT